GGATGAGAGAAAAAACATTCAGTTTCATCGATCTCCCTACTCATTCCTGGAGGACATTAACCAATTTTGCTATGAAGATGTATATTGTTGATGTCTTGGATAATGAATTTCTTCCCTAGAGTATTTGACTCATCCAAGTACAACAGAAACCGCTCCATGACCAGGTTGTACTCTATAAGCACTACTTTCAAGATCTTGACTGTCTTTTTCATGGTGAGAAGGTGCAAAGGACCCCAAGAATGCTCCACCCACCTATACTTTCTTCATATCCTCCTAAGTCAATACACTTCTGAAGGAGAGTTTCCATCTAGTTCTTCTGGTCTCAGTTTTGTGGAGAATGATGTTCATGTGATTTTTTATTGCAACAGAGGTCAATGCTGTTATGTACACAGTTGTCTAATAAAGATATCTATGAGTAAATGCATGGCTAAACACTCAAGCTGAACAGGTAGGTAGGGAAATTGTGAGAATGCCAGTACATACATAAACATTTGACAAAGGATATTTGTACATGGGTATTTAGCTACCTTTCCTGCAAATACATTCATGAATGTGGTAGAGCAATCAGGGATTGCAATCTAAGTTATGAAAACTTAAACATTACCAAACACCTTGAGGGAATGCATTGTTGGGCGTGGAAACTCAGGGTCATAGTCTCAAGGAACACCATGACCAACTGGCACAACACAGTCCACAGAGGGACTAGTGAGTAGAAACTGGGGTCTTAAAAGCTTATGAGTAAAAAAAAAAAGCTTATGAGTAGCTATCTAGGGTGTAACTATTGATCTCTCTCTGTTCAAAGGAAAGAAGAGTGATGAAAATTGAAGATGCATGGAAACAATTAGTCCAGGGGACTAATAGATCACATAAACATCAGTCTCTACAACCATGAGACCAGAAGAACTAGATGGTACCCAGTTATCATTATCAACTGCTCTAAAAGCTATCCCATTAGGAAGTCCTGGATAGAGTAGGAGAAAATGTGGAACAAAACTCAACATCATAAAAAAGACTAGGCTTACTGGTCAGATAGAGACTGATGGAATCCTAAGTCTATAGTTCTTTCATACCCTTGGGCCTGGAACTGAACTCACCTCTGTGGCTCAATTTTCACAACAGATCTTGAAATGTTTTTTTGATGACAAATGCAGTGAGATTCCTCTTCAACTTGTCATTTCTGTTATAGTAAACCATATCATTATCTAATTCAAAATGTCCAATATCAGTCCATTTCAGTTCACTAATGCCTTGGATATCAATCTTTATGTGTTCCATTTCATTTTTGACAACTTCCAATTTTCTTAGGTTCATATTTTGTGCATTGCATGTTTCAATTATTAATGGATGTTTGCAGTCTTTTCTCATCAATTTGAGTTGTGCCCCATCAGTAAATGAAGGTCCATAAAGCATTGCTCCAATTACGTCAACTTCGAGGAGGCAGGTTTCCCAGGTGTAGTTTGAGAGCCTTCCAACTGAGGAGTTCATCTTCTGGCACTATATATGAAATTGTTCTGTTGCTATTCATAGGGTTTTCATCTTCTTTCACTATATCTGACAGTGTTCTACTGCTATTCATAAAGTGTTCAGTAGTTAACCATTCAGAAATAGTCTGCTTCTCCTTCTTAGTCTGTTTTAATATGGAAGCTCCACTCAAACCTATCCACCATAGTTACCCCTGATAGTATTTAAAATATCAGTGGCATAGCTTCCAGCATCACAATAGCATTCAAGCCATCACAGTAGGACAAACTGACAGACAAGTGGTTGGATGTCACATAGAGGGTACTGCAATAGTAGAGATGAAATGAAGTGTGTGATTATTTTTAATGTAAAACTGATGATCTGTCTTGTAACTACTCAATTCACAATAAAAACTAAAAAAAAAACCATGGCAGTGAAACGATATACAATAGGATGAA